GTATTAATCAATATTGCTCAAATTAAACTACACAGAAGTGCTGAAAAATGGGCGTCAAAGGCAATTTCATTTTTCAGCAGGATAATGATCCAAAGCACAAGGCTTGAAATACAAGAATGTGGATCCTTTCTAATACACAACGATATCTGGATACGCCACCACAATCTCCAGACATTAATCCCATTGAATATTTATGGGATATTTTGAAGAAAAAATTAGAAGCAGACCAATTTTGTATAAAACCTTTTTTTAAGCGCGCACTCTAGAAGTAATGGGACAGTCTGTTGCCACCCATGACGGCAAAGCTCGTAGAATTAATGCTAAAACGTCCAGAAGCCTTTACTTAGGACATCTCACTAAATATTAATTTGTTTACATTTACACTTTTATTTAGTTTTTAACCACCGATTATGTGTATGTTCCAATACTTTTTGCTGTATTTCTTCGCGACCTTATGTTTGTAAACTTTGTTTAAAAGTTTCCAGGAAGTTATATTATATTTTTGTTTGCTGATATCAATTATACAATATACACTAATTTTAATGCGACCTACATTTTTTATTTTCTGTTTTATTTTACACCTAAAATTTATTCATTTTCTGAAATTTTCGAGGTGTTACAATTTTTATGACACTCGCTGCACATAGATGGAGGCTCTGGCGCTGTGGGCAATCCTTTATTGGCGCTCATTCATCGTCAAATATGTATGTATGTATTAAGAAATTAAAAAAATAAGGAAATGCGACATAGAATGAAATAAAACGTGTTACGACACGCAGGCGGACATGTTACATTATAGTTGGAATCTCTAGCCTCGCTCATAATGTAAATCTCACTCAGAAATGTAACATCGTAGTTATGACGTAAATTAGGTACAATTACGAAGATAAACCATACTGAATTACTTTTTTTATTGACTTTTGGGGATATGGGTTTATTCTAAATATTATATTTGTAAATAGAATATAAATTCGCATGGTTCTTTGTAGACTGCCAGAATGCTTATGTAAAAACATTTATGAAAGATTATGTTTATTGAAAGAACGACGTGTTATCATGTAATGACATTGACATGCCGTAGTCATGGGAACTACTTCACTGCGCGATAGCCCGCACTCGAATAAATACTGGAACGGGAAGCACCATCACTTGTCAGTTGGAATTGAGAGTCAAACGAAAGGTCGTCTTGCCGTTGTGATAACTATCGTAGTGAGCGCAGCATGGTGGCTGGCGCTAGACACACGAGACATTCGATATCTGAAGTCTTTTGAAGATTGATCATTTTTCGCTCTGCATTGTGATTGGTGGACCGAGAGTACATCATTGGAGGCATTGCTATGCCTCTCATCAGTGACAGCAAGATGGTCGGCCACGTGGGCTGAATAAGCGCTACTGCCGATGTCTGAGTAGAATCGTCTCTGTTGTTTCGGAGTACATACAGACAGCCTGACCTTTGCCTCTTCTGTCTCGGTAAGTTCTTTGCGAATTTTGTGTTGACATTTTTCCGCATCTACCACAGGTGTTGGGGACTGGGGGAGGATAGAGAGTAAATGGAATGTTTTTTGGTTTATGGATCGTTATTTCGTTTGAGCGCTATGGTTTTCGTTTAGTTGTAGTAGGTGTGGAGGTGAAAGGGAGTTTTAAATTGTGTTAAGATTTGCGGAGGAAAGGAAGGATATGAGAGTTCTTCAGTATTTGGAAGAACAAATGTTTTTTAGGATTTTATGTCAGTCGTCAAACAAATATTTTCCATGAAACATCTAATTAAATTGAACTTTATTAATTTTTTTCTGGGAAGCAGCAAATGAACTCTCCAAGCAAATCAAGTTGTTATTTTTTTCTAATCATCTCTTCAATTCTTTTAGCTCTTGTTGAATCGCCGATGTTCTGTTAGTCTGCTGTCAGGTGTCGAGTTGGTGGGAGAGGGAGTGTAAGGATATCGTGGAGATGTTTTCCTGGAGGATCTTAGAGGGGAGATCAGATAATGTGGGAGATTCGTAGTGTTTAAGCAGTGCATAATTAGCACATTCCAAACTTTATTTATAATGTGGAAACTAGTAAAACGATGGACTATTTATGGAGTTGCAATCTTCTGAAATTCAAAAGCACTCCAATCAAATTAAGATTCCGCATTTGGTGGTTGGTGTTTCAACTTGGGATGGCTGTCATCGTAAAATACCGAAAGTGACTGTAAACATTCCCGTTATAATAATTTACAAGAAATTGCCCACTACTGACAGGGTCATGATAATCATAGGTAAAGTAAGGCAGATTTGTGAAAAACTGCATCTTCAAAGATCAAGTATTTAATCCCCAAAATATACTAGTAAAATAAGGCAACAGAAAAGCTATTTACAGCATCTGAAAAATGGCCACCGGTAAGGCGAATTTAAATTATTGGTAGATTGTTTGATTTTATTACTACTTCGCCCTTACTTTTTAAAAAGAGAAAGTTTTGTTATCGTGCGCAGGAAAACATTTTCGATAGAAAACTCTTATTGCCAGGCCCTAGTAACTAAAACTTGGTAAACCTTATTCCTACGCATAGTAAATTACTTTCTCTAATTAATTGGATTGTTGGTGAAGTAGATACCTTTTTATTATGATAAATAAATAAAGATATTGTCAGGTATCAATATTTAAAATATTGATACCTGACAATATCTTTATTTATTTATCATACTTTCTCTAACTTGTTGTGCAGTCAGAATCCATGTTTTATGGGTTTTTGATACCGAAAAATTACTTGAAGTCAAATCATTTCTGTCCGTCTGTGGTCAAAACTAACGTCAAAACTGTTCAGAAGATTTTATCCAAAATTGATATTCTCCGATCGATTTAAATGAATTCAAGTGATTTTGGAAAGAATATTTTGATTTTGGGGGTATTTTACATGAAGCCTCAAAAACATGTTTAAAATTTTCTCAAAAATGGCTCCAAGTTTTTTTATCCAACTTTCTTTGATAGCATAAGAACGCTTAAGAGAAGGTGGTCTCATTTTGGTCGAAATTCATGATTTTACGAAAATTGAAAAAGTTCAAAACTTTTTCGGTGTCTTCGTACAACTACAATATTGAAGATTTTTTCTTGGATGAAATATGTTATTTAAAGACAGAACTTGATGTAGGGCCACGTATAATTTTTCGAAAATGTGAGTTGTTTTCGCGAAATTTTGTGTGAAGGCAATTGTGTTTTAAAAAATTCTCAAAAATGGCTTCAATTGTTTCTTTAAATGTTCTCTTGGCATGCATCAAGCGTCGATAAAAAAAGTGGTGGTAATCTGATTTCCGGCGGGCAATGGATTTACAAAAATTGCAAAGAAATCAACATTTCAGGACTTAAACAAAGTTAAGAAAGTTTCTGCCTTAAATACAATCTGTTTCAAAAATCAGCTTTTAAAAAAAGGTCATGTACATTTTTTTTAACGAGTCGTTTTCACGTAATTTGTGTTTCAAATTCATGCAATTTATAAAATATAACTTTTTCTCAAAAAACGCTCCAATTACTTTTATTTAAATTATTTTTACGGATAAAACAAAGGTATGGATACTTAAGATAATGACGTAGGTCTCATTTTCGTTGAAATTTAAGCACGGGGTGAAAATTAAGCACGGGGTGTGGTGTTCTAATGATGTGGTAGTTATTTGGCGAGAGCGTAGGCCTCCGCGACCGGAGTCAGTATTTACTTGGCTGTCCGGGCGACGCCCCGTCCATGGCAAAGGTGCAAACGTTACGACGAGGCATTGCGCCCTGAGGAAGGTCGCAGAATGGCGACCGAAACGTCGGCACCTTCACCATGAACGCGGCGTCACCCGGACAGCCAAGTAAATAAAATAATTTGACGTTCGTGACAGTTCAATCTAGCAAAACTTCGTAGATTATGTACGAGTGCCGCTCCTAAAAAGACAAATGGATGGATCTCGCTTTCTCTGACTAAAGTGGTGGTAAAACTATTTAAACTAGGTATTTTAGAAATTGCATTAAGACGTTTAAAAAGAGAATATTGAAAATACGTATATCTTTTGTTACACATTTCCTTTTTGATTTGGTCCATATAAGAAGACGCATATTGGCACTGCGACTCTCCATGAGATGTATAGCTTTTTGGCTCTCGATGTTTCTAAGATATGGCCCCTCTGATGAAGAAGGCGCGGTTAAAATAAAGGCTAACGTGAGCGCTCTTGAAGTAATGCAACCTAAGGAAACGGAGGTCACTGCAAGTATGACTCGCGAAATGAAAACAAATACATGCAATAATTTTAGCAGTCCAAAATCTCCCTAAAAAGCCGGTATTTTTCTTATTTTTTCAAGTTTCTTCACCGGAAGTATATGAACCACTATTAGTACGTGGAAGGATCCAAGGTGATTTGCATGAAGATATTGCAAAGAAAAAACACTTTTTTATTCGCGTTTGTTCACGCAATTTAAATCACATCTTATCAAACAACCTAGAAAGGATGCTTTGCCGCAACGAGCAATTAAACGTTTCTTTGTTGAATAAGTATACTTGTAAAGAACCAAACTGAAATAAGGTTAAAAATTGGTTCCCGTTTTGTAAATTTTGTGTGGCACGTTCAAATAATTATGAATAGAAAATACGTATGAAGTAGACTATTCATGTTGTGTCAGGTTGAACCAGTATTCGTATTAAGAAACTCCAAATAACCTTCTGCAAGCCCTGGTATTGCACGGAGTTAAATGTGACGACGAAAGTGCTGTGCTGGTCCGCAAAAGTGTGAAAATAGCGTTTCTGTAAACCATCGAACATTATTATATTACGAAATAAGCAAAATGCGACCATTTCATCGCATTTCCTCAAATCAACCATGCGATAAATATAAATACATTTTCCCTGCCGAGTGGCCAAAACCACCAGTCTTGCAGCCAAGAAGGCTGAATTATTCTGTAAATGTAAAATGTTTCGTCTGAAAACAAGAACTCGTGTCTTACCAACACGTTTTCGCAATGGTAAGATTGTGTATTGTACTTGTACTTACATCAGCTGCCGAAGCAATTAACGTTGTCAAGGTTTCCACTCCTCCAACCACCGAACGACCAACTTTGTTGAACTTCTCGCCATCATTGCCATACTTCTCTTCCTCTTTGATAGTGTCGAGGATCGGTTTCGGCTGCAATTTACCAAGAGGGTCAAACCAAAGGACATGTCAAATTAAGAATGTAATTCCTTCATAACATGCATTGCAAGCGTAAGCATGCGTTGTTCATGCTATTCATGCAGCATGGGAAACTTAATTGAATGTCAAGCAATACTGTTAGGAGAGCCATCCAGCCGGAATGCGACCGGCGTAGCTGTAACATTTGTTCTTCGGCTGTTTTCCCGAAAACATTAAACAAAGGCCGAAAAAGCTCGTTGTAAAAGTACTTTTTAAATTTACATTTTAAAAGTTTTTGATAAAGTTCAGTAACAATAGTATAAATATGAAAAAATACAACTAGTAGTTTCTTTCATTGTTTTTATTTATGAGCGAGAGTAAGACAAAATAGTTTAGTTTTTAATATATTTTAATATTTTTACGATGGAAGATACGCGCAATAATGCTTCTTCATTTAATGTTTTTGTATAATAATCTGTTCTGTAACAATAAACGTAATTAAAATATTTCTGTTTAGAGTTTACTATTATACAATGAAAAATTTACAAAATATCAAATAGAAAAATCTTAATACATTTTTAAATATTAGGAAAAGAAGCTGAGCATTTATCTAAGACAAAAAATCATACTTCGAAGAGATGGCAATCCTAAAGTCTGAGGATTTAGAAGAGCAATTTGACAAGCAGTTGACCACAACCACACCCATTCAATAATCCATCAGAATACGTCCGTACCCTTAACACGTTCACCAAAACACTTTCAATGAAGTCATACATCTTTTTTGTAATGGGTATCGTCGCCGCTTCAGGGTCGTCTTGTGTACTTTTCGAGAAGGCGGCAAAGAGGTTTGATGCTAAGTTCTGAAAGTCAACATGTTCCTGTAGTTAGTTTCGTGGAAAACAAAATACAGGTGAAAGCAATGGATTTGTAAGGAAAATGGATTGCAAGCATCTAATAGTACTTTCGTGACCATTATTTAAGGGGTTGCCAAACACCCTTTAGTGCTGAGGACCATATGCATTGACCACAAGAGACCAACAACGAAACACTTTTTGTAAACAAATTTTTAAAAAATGTTAAAGTAATTTACTACAATGTAAGAAATTACGATATTGAGCCACGAAGCTCTACAGCTGGAGTCAAATAAATAGTTCATTAACTTATTTTTTCTATGTTTAGATGCATAATTTTTATACATTTACTACGTAATCTTATTGATTTAGTTTATTATGTGGACTTACTACAAAGAAATAATATCAACAGAACCTGGAGACACGCTCGTACGTTTGAATATGCTCTTAACTTTTTAGAAACATTCAATGATAATTTTACGTATTTATAATTTAGAAAATAAATACTCATAAGATAATATATTTGGTAGTATCTTTTGAAGTGTTTTAAAAATATATTGGATGGATTAAAACATATTCCAAATTTATAAGAACAACTAATGTACACTCACAAAACGGTATTCTTTTATCCGTGGCCTTGGACATTCAAGATTCTTAAGACGACTGAAGCCAAGAGAAACTCTTTATTAATTTAATTGTTTCTAATGGTCTGAATCATAAAAATAGTTTTTTTACTCACTGTCGTACCTGCTTCATTACTACGTTGTACTTACTTCATTACTTGGAGATACAATGGAATGAAAATTTAAGCACTTCATTTCAAAAATGTCTAAAATGTTAACGTTTTCTTTTCTATTTGATGTTATTTGTTAATTTTAATATCACTAAATCAAAGTTGAAAGTAGAGATGGTCGCTTTAGAAGGGTTCCATCCACGTTCGGATACGTGTTAAGTTTACCCGTGGAGTTTTTACGTTTTGTATTTTAACGAAAAATCGTAACCTGATGGCTTCCGAGGACTCGCTCTGGAGATGGTCAGTTGTACCCGTTCGTGGTTGCGCATCTAGTATTTAACCGGCTCCCAAAGGTGCCTACAGTCGCTCTGTCGCACACATTAAATTTTACCGCGGCGTGGATCCTCAGCTCAGTGGCCTCCTCCGCCCCTACCCTGGTCCCATCGGCTACAAGGTTCTGCCAGTACTTCCGCGGACCTCTCTCGGATCTGAGTCACGCAAACGAATCGTCAGAATAGGAGCAACCACGAGAACTTATCCGAAAGAAAACCACGAGCTACTCTATTCGTGATAGTTTTACTTGCGGGTTTGTTTCGTCAGACGCTAATACTTACCCGAACGGGTAAACCGCTACGGGTAAAACTGTCACGTATCTCCAGCGCGGATAGGTCTCTTAAAGGGCCTATGTATTTACGCGTCGCGTTTAATCTCCGGGCCGGCTAACCTGACCGGGGTTTTCGTGGATTTCCTCAGTCACAAGACGAATGCTGGGTTGGTTCCAAAATCACACCACCTAACGTCTCCTACCATCATCCTAGTCCTTTCACCCAATAAGGATAATAATAATAATAATAATAATAATAACAATAATAATATTAACAACAATAATAATAATAATAATAATAATAATAATAATAATAACAATAATAATAATAATAACAATAATAATAATAACAATAATAATAATAATAATAATAATAACAATAACAATAAACCTTATCCTATCCCCCTAATTGATATTCAAGACTAACAACCTTGTCTTAACCAAGGGATGCGGCCGAAAATCTGATCCCCATAATTCCACACGTTGATCTCTCCAGGATAGAATACAACTGGGTCTCGGAGAGAGAAATGTTTTGCATGGTCAGTAGTGGCCCATTCCCGAATAATAATAATAATAATAATAATAATAATAATAATAATAATAATAATAATAATTTTTTTGCATGTTTATGAACGAATATAAAACGTTGTTGGAAAGTATGGGGGGGGGGAGAGGGCGCCCGGAGTGCGTGCTCCGTGTGATGCCGTGCGTCCCACCTGCGCGCTCTGGGCCTTGTTCTGCACGGAGGTGTGCGCCTGCGCGACGGCGGAGGCGGCGTCCGCCGGGAAGGCATGAGCTGCGCCCTGCAGCAGCGCGCACACGCACAGCGCCACCGCCGCTGCCGACGCCGAAGCGCTCGCAAGGGCCCTCATCCTCGGGGCTCCGCTCACAGAAACAGGGAGGAAGGCACGGGGGCCCGGCGATCTGAAAGGGAAAATAACGTGCGAGTTAATGGATGGATTGGTTGACACTTCCGGGCGCTGCATTAGCCCGTAAGTTAATGCATGTTATATCTAGAGATTTCAACAATTTTGTTTGGGAACAGTAAAACCTGTATGCGACGTATGGGGGAGAAGTGTAAAGGAGCTAAAGGTGATCTTCCCCTACAGATGCGTGAGATCTGATGCTGACATATACTGCTTGTGGGGTTTCCTTCTCCAAGTATCTCCTCCAACGAGGCACCGCTCCAGCGAGGACAAACTATTAAGCTTCCGAATGTTAATCCGGTATGTGTGGTATAGAAGGATTGGTCTGATATTTCCGGGAGTCTTTAGCCCCGTGGGTGTAATGCCTGTTATATTTAGAGATTTGAATTATTTTGTTTTTGAACTGTAAAAACTGTTTGTGACGTATGGGGGAGAAGTGCAAAGGTGATGGAGATAGAGGATCCTTTCCTGCAGATGCGTCAGATCTGGTGCCGACATATACTGCTTACGGGGTTTCCTTCTCCAGGTATCTCCCCCGAGGCACCGCTCCAGCGAGGACAAACTATTAAGCTTCCGAGAGGTCATCCGGTATGTGTGGAATAGACGGATTGGTTGACGCTTTCGGGAGTGTCTTTGGCCCCGTAAGTGTAATGCATGTTATATCGACGCTTTCGGGAGAATCATTGACCCCGTGGGTGTAATGCGTGTCATATCTAGAGATTTCATTAATTTTGTTTGGGAACAGTAAAAGCTGTATGTGACGTATGGGAAAGAAGTACAAAGGAGATAAAGGTGATTCCCCTGCAGATGCGTGAGATTTGTCGCCGACATATACTGCTTGCGGGATTTCCTTCGCCAGATATCTCCCACAACCAGGCACCGCTCCAGCGAGCACAAATTATTAAGCTTCCGAGTGGTCATCCGGGATGTGTGGTATAGACGGATTGGTTGACGCTTTCGGAAGCGTTATTGGTCCCGTGGGTGTAATGCATGTTATATCGAGAGATTTCAATTATTTTGTTTGGAAACAGTAAAAACTGAATGTGACGAATGGGGGAGAAGTGCAAAGGAGGTATAGGTGATCTTCTCCTGCAAATGCGTGAGATCTCGCATTGACATATACTGCTTGCGGGATTTCCTTCTCCAGGTATCTCCCCCAGACGAGTCACCGCGCAAGCAGGGACAAACTATTAAGCCTCCGTGTGGTCATCCGGTATGTGTGGTTTAGAGTGCGTGTGTGCGCGCGCGCGCGTGTGTGTGTGTGCGCGTGTGCGTGTGTGTGTATGTGTAGAGGGACGCAAAGGACAAGGATGAAGAAAGAAAGACAGCGATAGTACGCTGTTCGTGCCCGTGTGTTAGGGTACAGCTCCGGTATTCCGGAGTTCGTCCGGAGTACAGCTCCGGTATTCACCACGAGAAACCATGGGAAACTACCGATCAGAGCAGTTGCTCGCTAGAATTCTCCTTCAGACAACGACTGAATTCGACGATTAGATCTCGCTAGTATCGAAAATCTACAATTGGCGAGACTCGAACCCCAGATCCTCCTGGTTAGGGTAGCTGCAAAGTCATCGGTAGGGCTCATATCAACAGGCAGATGTATCGCGCGACTGACAAACGGCGCTCGAGAAATGCCAATTGGAGCGGCCTCAAGGGCAGTGAAGTTCTTGCAATTTTTGTGAATGCAAAAGGAGGTGCACACATTTTTTTCCACATTAACCGAAAACTATTTCGTTTATTAAGAATAACGTTGGGAAAAAATAATTGTATGTCAGTAAGAAAATTTTTTGTGTAAGTTCTATAGTTCATATGTCAATCGTGGCATTTCTTGTCGACTCCGAAAACTTGCTTATGGTAGAATGGGGAAGCAAAGATGCTTATGTGCCTATTTTATTATAGTAAAATATATGAACTGACAATCTTGATAAATTAGTCCCTTCATAATTGTTTATAGGTACTTTGTTGCATTTTACAATTAATGAACATACGTACATTTATACAAGTTCATTATTCACACAATAATTTAAACACGCACGTTTTCTTGGGTCCTCATTCCGCTAGATGCGAGAAAAGTGGGGGCTTGGGTATTGCGACGACAGAGCGATTGTATAAACCTGTAGTTCAATTTCATTTGCAAAATAGCTTCTATTACATAGGGACAAACATTTATGATAATTAGATTTTGTCAACAAGGCTCATCCCTAATATTTATTCTAAATTCAACTAATGTTAGTAAAGGATGTGAGGTACATATGCCGGGACGTAAGAAAACGTGCGCGTATAATACATTACACACTATTCAGTTGATCACAATATCTTGATTGAGGCATTTTTAAAAAGATCTCCACCATATGGTTTTCGAGCACTTTTGCTTTCAAGAGAGATCAGATTTTAGAAATCTGATATTGTGACTTCTCCGGTATTCAGGTCTCCATCGTGGCATATTTGACTCTCGCTCAGAAACGTGTTACGTGATATTAGAGGCCGGTGAAATGTCCGAATACCCAAGTATTCCTCAAAACCGGTTGTCCACGGCCTGATTATCTGACGACCTGACCGCCTACTCCTTGTACTCTTTATGCAATTTAGACAACCAGTAACTAAGCAGATCTAGTGTGCATTCTAATTTCCAATCTCTTGGTTGGTGTTTAAATTTTGAAGAAACGAAAATTAAATTATCTCATTACATTGCTTCTTGCAAATTCTAAATTTTTTAAATTTTATGTTTGAAGATCATCTTTTTGGTCGATCAGAGCCTGGAAATTTAGTGACTAATGAAATAACACAACAAAGAAAATAAGAGGATACATTTTTGGAAAGAAATAAACAAATTTAACATGAAACTAAAAGTATTAGAATAATAAATATCCTCTCATAATTTTAAACGAATTTACATATTAAAAGGAATAACCGCAAACTATTTTTATTATCGACCTTTTTTATTAAATTTAATAAATTAAGGTAATTAAAAATCATGAAGAAACGATTTATTTCCATATGATATGAAATGTTTCTTGCAAAAAATCTTATCACTAGCTCGTCAAAGAATATTCTTCTGCCATCCGTAAATACGTAATTAATAAGGTCGAAAATGAGCTACCGCTTACGAACGCTGCAAGGTCTTAATTGTCTCTTCGTAATTCACAAATTGGCAGGTCTCTTCATCCTGTACGACTCCAATGGGAAGATGAAACTCGCACCAAATAAATATCTGAAAATCGAAACTCCCGTAGAAACGTCGTGGCGCATAGAACTTTCGCAGATGTTTGTTGCCAGAAGAAAGAGAAGAGATCCTAGCTGTGCGGAAGTGGCAAATGAGTCATTTCTTCTCGGAAATCGCGGTGAGAATTTAAATGACTATCACTTTCATTCGTTGAGGCAGCCACTGCAGAGAGAGTAAGCCAAGTCAACGCCTTTCCACTCGTTGTCACCTTAGCGCAGATGTACGCCAGGTGATCTCGGACGTGTCATCGTCATGCTAAAGAGTTTCGAAGATTCAACAAGACGTTTTATGTTTCATGGATACAATAGTGCAGCTACTCCTAGTCTCATTCGAGGTTTTGCAAACCTTTCAGTTTTGTAAGCAAGTGATTTAATTTGTGAAACAAAACCATTTTGTAATTAAAAAGGCATATAGTTACATATTATTTTGGGATATACTGTACTATCACGTTGTCAAGTTCTGAAATTTTACAGGTTAATGATATGTTGTTATTAATAATAATAATAATAATAATAATAATAATAATAATAATAATAATAACAGCTAGATGGTCCCGCACGAACATTCCGCAGCTTCATTTTGGAATCCAACTTCCAATGACCAGACACTGAACTGTTCGTGGGCAAACGTTTGCCCACGAACAGTTCAGTTGACGAGTTGGTCACTGCCCTGAGGAAGCCTGCGACATGTCAGGCGAAACGTCGGCCTCTCAGCCAAGGACGTGGCGTCTCCCGAATAGCCAAGAATTTAATGTCTGTAGTTCTCAAAGGGCTGTTTTATCCAACAAAAACAAATATTTTCGTGTTGTTTAAAAATAAAGGATTCAAACTAGTCGTGGTGGGAGAAAAACTTCTTTTGTTTCCGACAAAAGCTGGCGCAAGGTTCTAACGAGTTTTTAGCATGTGTCAAAGTGTTGATAGTCTAAAAAACCGGTTCAGCATTCCTTTGTTGACTCAGTAAGTAAAAAAAAAAATTGAAGAAGCAAATAATCCTTGACTCTCCACAAAATGCTACCAATTAACATATACTTTAGGTATGGATTTGCATATTAAATTAATCCTTAAAAGATGTGAAAAACATTCCTCTGCCATTTGTAGTATTGATACTGCATTCTGTTACAACAGAGTGTGAATTATGTGTTGAAAGGTACCCTGGAATCTAAAAGAAAATGTTCGTTTACAGATATGACTCGAACGATAGTATTTATGATTGTTAGTCTTCAAAACTCTGTACAATTAGTATATTGGCTCGCATTTTGCCTCCATGAAAAAACTACCTTTCAGCTGAGTATTTCTCGTACTTATGCTTTCCCATATACTGTGTGCGTTCCACCGTAATATTATTACGTATTGTCATGGAGCAAACTCAAGAATTGACAAGATTGTTGTACATGGTACTCCTGCATATCTGTTATAGGTTGGTCATCTTCTTTCTCGATGCCTTGATACCAGATGTGAGTTTTATTAAATGCACGCACCAACTCTGCATCACATTCGACCACATTCCTTTTCTCGTCGTTATGTGACTTGCGTAATAATGTTAAAGTCAGGCACTCGCAATATGGCCAATATAATTTTTATTATTTTTTGTTATGTTGATGGTTGTTGAGGAGTGCAGGCTCGAAGAGCAGACCTTTCAAAAATTAAGAAAGATCTTCGTATGTTTTTTTTAATTTTATATTTATTTTCGAGAACCGACACTGAAAGCAAGGATTCACCATTGGTGGCAGTGCAGATACTGTTTAAATCGTATCTGTTTCATATATTTTAGAAAAT